AGACAAGTGAAGGACAATCTCCAGGAGGTGGGCGTATCATTGTCAAAGTTTACAATCAAGAGAAGACTTCACTAAAGCAAATACAGAGGGTTCACCACAAGGTGCAAACCATTCATAAGGCTGAAGACTAGAAAAGCCAGGTTAGACTTTGCCAAAAAACATCTAAGAAAGCCAGACCAGTTCTGGAAAAGCATTCTTTGGACGGATGAAACTAAGATTAATCTGTACCAAAATGACAGGGAAGGAAAAAGTGTGGAGAAGGCTTGGAACAGCTCATGATCCAAAGCACACACCGTCATCTGTAAAACATGGTGGAGGCAGTGTGATGGCATGGGCTTGCATGGCTTCTGGTGGCACTGGGTCATTGGTGTTTATCGATGATGTGACAGAAGACAGAAGCAGCCGGATGAATTCTGAAGTGTTTAGAGATGTACTGTCAGACAGATTCAGCCAAATGCTGCAAATTTGATTGGACGGTGCTTCACAGTACAGATGGACAATGATCCAAAACACACTGCAAAAGCAACCAAGGAGCTTTTGAAGAAGAAGAAGTGGAATATTCTGCAATGAATGAGTGAATCACCTGATCTCAGCCCAATTGAGCATGCATTTCACTTGCTGAAGGCAAAACTAAAGGCAGAAAAACCCACAAAGAACAACTGAAGACAGCTGCAGTTAGAGCCTGGCAAAGCATCAGAAAGGAGGAGACCCAGTCTTTGGTAATGTCCATGGGTTCCAGAATTCAGGCAGTCATTGCCAGTAAAGGATTCTCCACAAAATATTAAAAATGAACATTTTATTAATGATTATATTCAATTGTTCAATTACATTTGAGCCCCTGAAAATGGAGGGCGGGGGAAAAAAAAAAAGGTTGATCATAAAATTTGTACTTGGTATTTATGTTCAACCCCTTGAATTAAAGCTGAAAGTCTGCACTTCAAATTCATTTGGATGGTTTCATTTTAAATTTATTCTGGTGGCATACAGAGCCAAAAGTAAGAAAAAACTGTGCCCGTGTCCAAATATATATGAACCTAACTGTATATAGTACCTTGCTTTGTGGTTTTAACTTGCCTACCGGATACTTTTACCCCCTTCGTGCCCAGGCCAATTTTCAGCTTTCAGTGCTCTCACACTTTGACAATTGCGCGGTCATGCAACACTGTACCCATTAGGACATTTTTATCTTTTTTTTTCACACAAATAGAGCTTTCTTTTGGTGGTAATCGCCACTGGGTGTTTTATTTTTTGCACTATAAAACAAAGAAAGAGCAAAAATTTTGAAAAAAAAAAAAAAAAGTTTTTCTTTGTTTCTATTATAAAATTTTGCAAACAGGTAATTTTTCTCCTTCACTGATGTGCGTTGATGAGGCTGCACTGATAGGCAGCACTGATGAGGTGCACCGATGAGGTGGCATGGATAGGCAGCACTGATGAGCATTGATGAGGAGGCACTGATATGCAGCAATGATGGGCACTGACAAGCGGCACTGATGGGTGGCGCTGACTGGCACAACCGGGCACTGATCACCCATGCAGATGTCCTGTGTGACAGCGTGAGGAAAGTGCTGCCGATAACCGGCAACTGTATTTACTCCGTGATCTGCTGTGTCATTGGACACAGCTGATCACGTGGTAAAAGGCCACTGCGATTGGCCTTTTACCTCATCATGTGATCAGCTGTGTCCGTAGAACACAGATCACGGACAGCTCCGGGTGCGTGCAGCTGGGGCGTGCGTTTTGGCAGGATGCCATATGACGCCCTCCCAAAACTGGACAACCTGTAGCCATAGCGCGGTTTTGACATGGTTAAAAAGAATAAGAATGTACATACTATACCTGGCCAACTCCCCTGGAAGTTACCGTATGAGACACCACTACTCCAGTGATCGCCACTCACTTCCTGGTCCTATGCTAAGCAGCCAGCCGACTGCATTGTGAACACTAAAGGGCATCCGCTTGGCACGGGTGCCATTCAAAGAATGCTTTGCATTTTCTGAATCAATCCAAAGTGTTCTCTGATTGGACAAGGTGGAGGGGTGGGTAGTTACATGTCACTGTGCAGGTGAAGATGGCCCTTCATATGGATGTATGCATAAGTACGCTTGTGTGAATGAGGCCCAAGGCTTGAACAGAGAGAAATGATGGAAGCTTCTTCCAACATGCACCAAAGTTTCTCGAATGAGTGCAATATACAACCCTAATATCTTATATACTCCACAATTGTGCATTAGCTGAATGGCACCCATTGGTTCTATAGTGATACCTGTGGAAGAGCAATCTACACTTCTTACATTACATCAGCAGCTGTGGTATGCATGTAACTTCATTTCAGAAAGAAGAAAGAACCTGAAGAAGTCATTAAACAGGAATAATGCAATCACTTGCTTCTCCCTTTTGCAGATGGTGAAAAATAGAGCCTCCCTATTATATTACTGTAGTAATATAATATAATAGTAATTAGATGGAATGTATATTTTACCTTAAAAGCAAACTGCACCTTTAAGCCCAGGTCGTTTAACGTTACACATATATTTAGGGTATAACATGAAACATGGTTGTGTTCCCTAACCCCCCCCCCCCCCCACTTACCTTACTGGGTTCTTCTTCCTATAGTGTCCTGTTTTCTTTTGAATTCAGGGGTCTGTGAATGGAAAGACTACAAGTCCCAAATCCAGTGATGCTGCTGCACTTGTAGTCTATGGTTAACTTCTTCCAGAGCCACAACCAAAAGGTCCAGACCTCTGTATTGACCCAGGGCTGGGGGAAGAGTCTGCAGGAGCCTTGCGGTTTTTGTGTTTTTTTTTTAATTTTATTTTGTTAATATGGGAGCATTCAGTATATTTTTGCAAAAGGTGGATTTGTTTTTTTAAAAGAAACCAGTTTTATATAAATATATTTTTCTCAATATATGTTAGTACAGTGGCAAGTGGTCCCTTCCTGTACACTATGATAAAATTCAGCATGTTTACATTTTATTGCAGCTCACTGCACCACACCTCCAGAGTGCATTGCAGTGTGAATGGGACACATAGAAAACAATTCTATTTTTCTGTGTGTCCTAGAAGTGACCTGCATTCTTTCAGTGCCTGCTTTAAAGTGTTACTAAACCCAGGACCCTGCATTCACTATATCTGGTCTCCCACAGTACACACAACATGGAAACGCAATTATTTTAATAAATATAATCTGCTAAATACCTTTTCTCATTGGTAGTATATAGTAGTCTTGTGACTTTATCAGTGCCTAGCAGAGCACTGGTTAAAGCTTACAGGAGTTTTTATTCTCCTCTCACTGTCCTATGAGGCTGCAGGACCCCTGACCCTCTGTCTGGACAGTGCTGATTGGCCCTGTGCTGATCACATGCACTCTCCCAAAGGAAGAAAAAAAAAACCTTCTAGCCATACACATTAAACAGAGCATGTGCAGAGTGACTCCTAGAGCTCTGTACTATCAGTAGATAAATTGAGGACAGTAAAACAAGGGGGGGATCAGAGAAGGCAGGATCAAACAGCCTTTCTTCCCAATGCAGAGGATTAACCCCTTAAGTTCTACAGTGAGTATAACAAGCATGTGTTACTGCATATACAGAATGATTTTACCGCTGTGGGCTTAGTAACACTTTAACTCCTTAAATCCCACACTAGCACGCCACAACCCCGTGCATTTCACATGATTAGGCCGATTCACTTGAACAGGTTGTGTTTGGTGGACAAATGGTGGGCGCTACACTCATTGAAAGCAACAGGGAGTATAATTCCTGACAAGGCCACAAAGCATTGTGGTAGGTGTACACCCCTGGCTGCTACCTCTGCAGCTAAAGAGGGTAGCAGTTAGAGGGGCTGTAAAAGCAAGGCTCAACTGCAGGGTTTTACTGCCCCCATCCCCATGTGTGAAGGAGTCCTTAAAGCAGAAGTAAACTTATCTTAACTTCAGTGGTCCTGTACCTAGCAGGCATCTTCTGCTGTGTGTCAGTCTACTGCCATCTTCACTGGCAAGTGTGGAATAATGCCACTCCTGTGCATGCACAGTCATCCCTACAAATGGAGCCCCGGCTGGAGGTGCAAGCTGAGTATGTGCAACTCAGTTTACATGCCAGAGAAGACCATGGCTGCTGCAGGGGAGAGGAGGGGACATCAACAATGGCTTGGCCACGGGAGCCTATGGGTGATGTCACGGCTCCAGGAATTCCCAGCCATTGCCGAGCGCTCTGGAATCATGTGACCATACCAGAACAGAATAAAAATAGGTAAGTTCACATCTTTTTAAACAGGATAGGTAGGAGGAGGGGAGGAGAAACATTTAAAAATAGTTAGGCTTCTTTATTATTTTGTGAGGGCAGTGGGCACAGGACATGGCTGGAAGGAGTACAGTGCAGGCTGGCCATGGTGGAGTCCACCTTGTATACCACACTGCCATATAAAACTCCCTGCTCTATATAACTCCAACTGGAGAGCCAGTCCAGGGTCTTCTCATGTCAGCCAGGGCTGGGCAGGGAGGAGAGAAGCAATGAGAAAGTCCTGCTGAGTGTGGGAGGTATAAACTAGGCACCCCCCCACATGACCTATACCAGGAGTACCCCACCCCCACATGACCTATACATGAGGTATCCTCACCCCCACGTGACCTAAACACGATGTACCCCCACGTGACCTATACACGGGGTACCCCCACGTGACCTATACATGGAATACCCCTGACCTATACACGAGGTACCCTCACCCCCACATGACCTATAAACAGGGTATCCCACCTCTACATGAGGTACCCCCACATGACCTATACACGAGCTACCCACCCCCCACTTGATCTATATATGAGGTACCCCACCTCTACATGACGTACCCCCACATTACCTATATACAAGTTACGCTCACCCCCACATGACCTATACATGGAGTACCCCCATATTACCTATACACGAGGTACCCCCACGTGACCTATATACAAGGTACCCCCACATGACCTATACATGGGATGGGGTCCCCCACATCTCTCACCTGACCAGCGCTGTGCCCGGATGTAGCAGTGAGCCCAGCAGTAGAGTCCATATTAGCAGAGCCTCCATAGCAGTCCCGGCTATTCTCCTCACACAGAACACTGAGCTTTCTTCCTCCACCCGACACAGGTCACAAGATGTCTCAACAAACGTGATGTGTCAGCTGACCGGCATGTCACATGACCCGAGAAGGGCGGACACACACACCATGTTCATTCCTAACCCGTGCTCTCCCCCTAGTGGTCATCACAACCATTACAAATACAGAAATCTAGTGAAAAAATAAAATGGATAAAGTTCTGAAGTTCCATTTTTTTTTCTGTTTTTATTGAGATGTAAAGCCTAGTATACACTATGAGAAACAATCGATCATGAAATTTTTCTACAACAAGCACGTATGGCACCCCCTGCCCGTGAACACAACGGGAGCGTGGATCACGTATATATACCCGATTTTGCGCAGGGAGTCTGCCCTGTAGCAGTTTTACTGCTACAGGGTGGAGTTTAACTGGTTAAAGTAGAACTAAAGGCAATTGTTTTCCATTTTGGATAGAGTAATTAAGGGTTATAACCCGTCAGTTTTTTATTTCTGATCTGTGTCTCATTGGGGAGATTTTCCTTCTCTTTCTGGCCACAGCCAAAACAGGAAGTGAGAGAAAATCCCTTCAAAGTGAGGAAATCGCTGGTTGTAACCAGGGACACCTGAGCTAATGCCCACATTTGAAGATTTCCCCTCTATTCCTGTTCTGGTGACAACTTAAAATTTGAGATTTTCTTCCACTTTCACTCTCAGTAATAATGGTAAACAGAAGAAACATAGAGGGCGAATATCCCTAATGAGAGCAGAGACAGCTAAAAAAAATGTACAGGTGTTCTAATCCCTCTCCACCATATCCAAAACTAAAAAAAAAAAGGTTTTGTCCTTTCTTATTGTTTAGTCCTGTCATTTGTGTTGTAAGAAATGTTCTATCCATCACTCACGTCTTACTCCAACACACCTTGACTCTCAAGACCCAAAGACAGCGCCCATTCCACATTGCTGGAGTTGAAGTTAGCGCTCATAATAAGGTCCAGGGTAACATGTGACCAGAACACCAACTTGTGGCGGTGGTGAAAATCCAATGCTATGATGTTTTCCATGTTGAGAAGCAGGCAGAACCTGGAAAAAGATCAATCCCATGGGCAAACAGCAGAACCAGGTCTGGTCCTAGGGAAGAAAACATATTGCAAGGACCATCAGTATGGTATGATTGATTGCTAGCCGTTAGTAACCACCTAGCAGGGCCTCTAGCAGTCCACAGGACAGGATTCCCCAGGGCACGGAGTCTAAGCCCCAGTCTGCTTGTTCACCAGGGCCCCTGATGGTGGGGATGGGCTTGGAGCAGACAGGGACCAGGTCGTGGCCCCTGAGTACACCCGTCCGTGGTAGAGAGATCCGCCAGGGGTATGTTCAGGTAGAGAGCCTGACGTGAAGAGGTGGAAGACGGGATCAGAGCGGGATGGATGGATGGCGGAATAGTAAGCGTGGTCAAACGGGCCGGGTCGGTAACAGTGGGATCAGCGTAGTACAAGGCGGCAAGGAGAAGAATAGTCAGGTCACTCGCTGGGGTCGGTAACAGAAGTTCAGATCAGGTATGGGGATTATCCAGAAGAGAGGTCAAACTAGCCAGGGGGTCAGAGCAGGAGAAGTCAGCGGAGGTCAGGTTCAGGCAAGGTCAGCAACGAATCTCGAATAGCAGGAACACAGGAGCAAAGATCAGACCATACGGCAACTTGTGTCTGTGCAGGGCTGGTTTAAGTAGCCCGCCCTGCACCTGACAGGCGCAGCCTAGGTCCTAGTGCCTGCCCAGCACCATCATAGGCGCTGGGTGCGCCTGGGTCCTAGTGCCCTGCTGCCTGCATGTCTTGACAGACACCTACACATGTGCAGACCCATGCGTCGCGATGGTCCCTGACACTAGCACATAACTGTAGAATGAGAGAACGCAAGATCTGAACATTACCCAAGGCTTTGCAGCTGTGTTTGTCAGGTCAGAGTTGGTACCCACTCTCACAAAAGCACTGGGAGCCTACTGTGTTGCTGCCTCCCTGACTGCAATATGCCTCCTCTGACATATGGGTGAAGGAGAATTACGGTCCCAACATATCACATTCTCTTCTTCTGTCAGACAACTCACCCACTGGGCCCCATATGCTCAGCACTATTTACAGTGTTATACATGTAAAGACTACAAAATACCACCCAACCAAATTAATGAGATGATTAGAAAGAAAGAGATGCTGTAGTCCTAACACACTTCCTATCCTGTGGTGACAACACTGTTCCTCCACTTCTTCATAGATACAGTACAGCAAGCGCTGTCTCCTTAGGACAGGACGTGGATTACTGGAAGGGCCACAAGCTGAAAAAAAAAAAAAAAGGTAGAGGATTCCATCAAACTTTTGCAAAACATAATAAATCCACCATTTTTTTGAAAAGCAAAAATAGTATTTTTATTTTTTTTTTTTGCATTTCTGCCTGCAAAGCAGTGATTTCTGGTGCAATGCTCCGGTAGACTCTTCCTCCAGCCTCTTGTCCCTAAAGAGTTACAGACCTTCAGCCATGCTGGAGGAAGCACCAATGGACTACAAGTGCTGTGATGTCACCATGTAGTAGCAATTTTTGCAAACCAGAGAACTCCGGACAAGGACTTGAGGAATACAAATGATTAAAAACAGCGCTGTTTTGACTCAACAGATGGCTTGTGCTCTCATCTGCTAAGTGAGTTATAGAAAACTTCTTACAAGTGTATATACCAATGATTACGTCACAAGGCATACATTCCTTTCTTACTTTCTATACACTCAAAAGGCTTACTAAACTCTACAGAATAACTCTTCAGAATAACCTTGGACATCAGCTGCAGATATAAAAATACCAGCTACGAACCGGTACACATAATACTCACAGGAAATAAGGGAGGGAGGAAGATGAGCCAAAAACCTTGCTTCTACAAACACAGGCTGCTAAAAGTGTTAGGAGTTTAAAGGGAAACTCTGCCATATCTGGGTGCTACCACAACCACACTTATGCCCCAATCAGAACTACAGTCCCTCTGCCGTGGTAACAGATGGAACTTGTAGTTTTCTTCCAATGACAGATTTCTGTGAATGAATGACAAGGCTGTACAGGTGGAGCCATGCACAGCTCCATCAATTTGAAAAATGACAGGTGGAGTTAGCTTTTTTTAAGCAGCCACCACATTGAAAGACTGGTATGTTGCAATACCTTCGATTTGTGTTGTAAGCTTTAGATACACTTCTACATTGAAGCGGTACTCCACCCTAAATGGGAAGTTCTGCTCTTATGAACACCTCCAACATTACTGGCACTTTATTTTTATTTTAGGGGGGCCAGTACCTATTTGGCAGGAACCCGCTCCCACTTCTGCTGGAATTGCCTAGGTGATACCAATGGAAGTTCTCCCAAATCCAGGCCACCACCTCATGGAACATGTCACAGGTCCCATGAGGCTGTGGGACCATTCACAAGGCATTGCAAACCTCGCAAATATGCAGTGAGAAGCTGGCTGTGAAGCCACAAGGAGTCACAGCTGGCTTCCCACAGTAAACATGCTGGCATCGGAGAACTGAAGACCTGCCTTAACTAGCCTGGGTGAAGGCAGCACTGGACCCCGGAGCAGGTATGTGTCCTTTTATTAAAAGTCAGAAGCTACAGTATTTGTATCCACTGACTTATTTTTATTTTTTTTTAGTCACTGAAGATTCTCTTTAAACTTTCATATAAAACTAAAGCATCTAAAAACCTTCAAACACTGGACGAACCAAGTACTGCCCCCAGCTCAACCAACCTCTCACTTACTGTAACACATTCACTGCAGACAAAGCCATTTAAAAGTAAATCTGTCATAAAAGAAACAAAGGGGCTCCCATTGCCAACCAGCTTCAGAAAATTCTGATTGGAGAAAAGACTGGTCCTCGGACTTCAGAACTTTCTGAGTACTCAGAACAAGTACGCAGAGCAGTAAATTAAACAAATGTTTAAAGTCTTTACCTGCACACTTGTTGAGGCTTATTGCATGATATCCTGGAACTTAGCATTCACATATTCAGAAAAGGTCAGCAAAAACAGCCCATTTCCTTTTATTATAGGTTTCCTTTAATGCTAAAAATGAATGCAGATTATCTGTACTTTTTGGTTTTTTCCTATACTCCCCAATTGTCAGTATGACAAACCTGCTACACTGCTCAAAAAAATTAAAGAAACACTGTGAAAACACATCAGATCTCAATGGGGAAAATTCTCATGCTGGATATCCATACTGATATGGACTGGGTAATGTGTCAGGAATGTAAGGATGCCCCATTGTTTGATGGAAATGAAAATCAACCTAGGAGAGGACTGATTTCAAGGACACCCCGAAAATCAAAGTGAAATAAATTATGCAGCAGGCTAGGCCATTTTGCTGAAATTTCTTTTCAGCAACTCAAAATGGTACTCAGTAGTTTATATGGCCCCCATGTGCTTGTATGCATGACTGACAATGTTGGAGCATGCTCCTGAGATGACAGATGATGTTCTGGGGTATTTCCTCCCAGATCTGGACCAGGGCATCACTGAGCTCCTGGACAGTCTGAGGTGAAAACTGGCAGCGTCAAATGGACTGAAACCTGATATCCTAGAGGTGTTCCATTGGATTTAGGTCAGTCGAACATGGGGGCCATTCAATTGTATCAGTTCCTTCATCCTCCAGGAACTGCCTACATACTTTCACTGCATTAGGCAGGGCATTGTCAAGCACCAGGAGGAACCCAGGACCCACTGAACCAGCATAGGGTCTAACAATGGGTCCATGGATTTAATCCCGATACCTAATGGCAGTCAGGGAGCCATTGTCTAGCCTCTAGAGATCTGTGCGTCCCTCCATGCATATGCCTCCCCAGACCATCACTGACCCACCACCAAAACAGTCATGCTGAACGATGTTACAGGCAGCATAACGTTCTCCATGGCTTCTCCAGACCCTATCACGTCTGTCACATGTGCTCAGGGTGAACCTGCTCTCATC